AAGAACACGTTAAAGAAAGTACTTCTGTCGCGCATTCGTCACAATGGATGAAATGAATACTATATTGTGCGAAATAGAAACAACAATAAACAACCGTCCGATAACTTATGTTTATGGTGACGACGCAGAGGCGACTCCCCTCACCCCAGCTCACTTACTCCATGGCCGTACGTTGAACACATTACCACATGTAACTATCGACATGGAGGAACGCATCGATCCGACGTACGAAACAAAGGAAACTCTCCATAAACGTGCCACGAAGCTCAGTGAAACTATGGATCGACTTTGGAAAAAATGGGAGTTAGAATATTTATCAGCACTCCGAGAACGACATGAACGACAAAAACCCGGGAAATTAACTAACGCGATCAAGTCTGGAGACGTTGTACTTGTACATTCAGACAACAAGAAACGTACGTTATGGGATTTAGCCGTGGTCGAGTCTATCATAACAGGAAACGACGGTATAACTCGCGCTGCAAATATCAGAACGCGTAATGGTAAAACAAATCGTCCTATTGTGAAACTATATCCTATTGAGGTCTCCACGGATAATATGCATTGCTTGGACACTGATAATATACAAATCTTGGACACTGATAACAATAGACATATTAACAATTCTAATGACACACGTACTGCTAATGTTATTTCTAATCGCCATCCATGGCGTGAGGCGAACATCAGAGCCCGACAAAGAATTAGGGATTGGATTAATGACTAGTCAGGTCCTACTTCTTAAATTGAACATTTTTATGACTTAATTTGTGCGAGTTACTGTTTAATTTTAAATTGTTTAGTTCGTATTCTTTTTGTGAACATCAACGTTGTTATTCTATTATTCGCTTATATTTTTTATGTTTTATTCGATTTTCTAGTGATTTGTTCGTTACTACAATGCATGTACATGTAGTATTTTTTTTCTGCCGCCGGGAGTAATGTGGAGACTGTTAGTCTGACCTAATTAGACAGCCACTGCTGTTGCCACGCCCACAGTTATTTCAACCAATCACATCCCGGTGTTATTATAAGTAGTTTGTTTGTTGTTTCATTGTAACTTACATGTAATCGAGTGAAGCGAATAAACAGTTGAGTTATTGTTACCGCACGGTTAACTTGTCTTCTCGATCTCTCTATTCCGAGTTTCTACCCGCAACCGACTCAACTCACGTGCCCATGCGCACACATTCATTTGTGTTGGTTTATGCTTTAATCACATAACTGCCCAGGAATGCATACCAACAAAGAATATGCTGAGTCGCTTGTCTATTCATTTAGTGGTCTGTGGTTGTACACAGGAAATAACTGGCTGGAGTTAGGACAACTGAATTGTTTTACATT